CTGTATTCACAAAAAGTTTGTATAGGATAAAAAAAAAGAAAACATCCAAACCAAGATTCATAGAGATTCATGGATGTTGAGATCAGAAATATTTATCCTAAATATTGATTGTTTCAAGAGGCAAATCATACTTATTAAAACTGAATTCAGGGAACAACATTTTTAAATATCTTTAGAGGAAGTGTTTTCCTATATGCTTATCAGAGGAAAGAAAATGTATAAGGCCATGCTGCAGGAATAGGTAAAAAACATTTAATCACAAGATATTAAATGACAAGTATGGCCAAAGCTTTTTTGGCCCTACATCTCCTATGGATCACAGGAGTGCAGTTCATTCTGCACTCCTGTGAGCTTTTGTCAGAAAACAGTGAGATAAAGTTTGCTGTTGGCTGAAGTCACACAGCTGGTCTGGGCTCTGGATTGATCCCATATTTACAGTTGAGATCCACTCAGATACATGGACTAGCAGTGAGCCTCAAAGAACACGAGCCAGCCACTCCCACCCGTTCCACAACCAGGTGCTCTAGTGAGCGCTGGAGGGGTAGAGTAGAGAGCCGGTGACTGATGGTCACTGAAGACTGAGAACTGATCACTCAGTGGTCTTTGATCACTCAGTTCTCAGTCTTAGAAACAGCGGAGGACAGATGCAGCATCAGACAGATGCTGTATCCATCTAGGTGTGAGTATTGTTTTTTTTTTAAGAATCCCATACTTCTCTTTTAAGCAGTTGTGGATGCTGGGCATTCTACACACATCCAAAAAAACGTAATGGAAGTACCCAAGACATGTGTAGTACATCCTGTCCTTCTGCCCCTCTGCTACCCATCCCTTGCACTTGCTGGTAATTTCCAACTGTCAAAATGATCCAAGCAGTTCTAATGAGTATCAGGAACATACCCATCATTTATAACCACGCAAGAAGCAATATAACTGATTGGCTTGGAAGAAGAAATGGTTGGATAAACCAAGAAATGTCTTCAACATTACAGAACATGTCTAATTGAATGTGGCTAGCTATTCCATGGCCTGGATAAATTAGAACCTTTACAGACTCATGATCAAACAAGGGAAAGTTCACAAACTCTTTTATATTGTAAGTTTACTGATTTTGTTGATCTTGACAATAGACTTCTCCATCACTCTTTACAATAGACTTCTACCTTCTTAATATTTGAATGATAACCTAACAATAGTTGAGAGAGTATTAACTTACAAGAGTGGAATATTAACATAAGAATGTAGCTTACATACATTATATAAAAGAACACAGTGAGCACATACTGTATCAACCTTGAACAAAGGACACAGGTGGGAGACACCAGAGTTTAAAAACATAATGAAAAAAAGTAATTGACAGGTAGATTAATTGAGTAAGATGACTAGGGGTAATCTGTGTACATCAGTGCTTCACAGACTTTATTGCAGCCGATAACATTAAATTCTATTTTCAGTAATATACTTTGTGAAATGCAAATTTTCTTCCTGGAGAATTAAAAAATGGAAATGTTACAAGTAGATTTACACAAGGTAATATATGGTTAATTATTAATAAAGGTACTCACATCATTGTCATTTACATAGAGGAAGGAATTGCATTGGCAAACTTTGGAATGAGAGAAAAAGGGAAAATGCTGACAGGCACAAAGGTCAGTCACTGATGAAAAATAATTAGACATACTTGTGGCTTACATTATTTCATGTGTCCTCAGTGTCAGACTGCAGTTGAAAAGGCTAATTGGATATTGCCCAAATAAAATGGCAAAAATAAAAGTTCAATAAGTAGCAAACAGTTGTAAAAAATGTAGTTTATGTTAATCGTAGTTAAATATATTAGAATTAAAGAATTTAAAAAAAGGCTTCCCTGTAATACATGCACATTGCCCCATGTTCTGCCTCTTTAAAGGATACTGCAGGTACAGAAAAAATACCTGAAAAACAGTGAACCCAAAATGTTAAAAATTCCCCTTTCAAGCTGATAAGCAGTGTTATCAGTCTTGCCAAGTTCTCCCATGTTGGGCTACAGGAAAATCCCCACTCTCTTCATTTCAATAACATAAGGAAAGGGGGGTCTGCAGTCCAGCAGGGGAGAACTGGGGAGGGCTGACAGCACACTGCTTGAAATTTCAGTGCATCAGAGGCATAGTTGTCAGCATGAATGATAAGAATTTAGTAGCGTATAGGTTTTATGGCGGACCAACAGATATTATTCTGTAACTGATGTGCTTCAAAGTGACAGAACATGGGGAAATGTGTATGTATTGCAAAACAGTTTTGATTTGATTTTTTTTTTCTTTTTTTGTCCAGGCATAAACTATAACCCAGATAGGGTAGGCACCATACAAACATTGTTCTCATTGTTCTTAGCTGTCAACTCTACATGTATGTGGTCTGCACTTATTTCAGCCTCAGCTCCAGTGTGCCTTACTTTCAGCTGAAGCCAACTCACATATTGGATCCTTATATATAATAGTAAGATCAAATTCCAAGAATACCATATCGATTATCGATTCTATGAACTGGATTTGATGCTTCTTATTTTTTTTGTGTTGTTGTGTTGTGTGTGTGGTTTTTTTAGTAAAAAAAGTAGCACATAATACACACATTAACACTTGTTAGGCACACCATTAACCCTTTGATGTTTACCCCTCCCCAGCCAGTGTCATTAGTATAATTATTATTATTATTATTATTGTACAGTATTTATAAAGCGCCAATAGTTCGCTCAGCGCTGTACATTACAAAGGGGGGTAGAACATGTGACAGAACAATACCAATACAATGCAAAACATGAGGGATCGAGGGCCCTGCTCTTTCGAGCTTACAATCTAGGAGGGAGGGGAAAGTGTATAGTATTATCACTGATCACTGTATTAGTGTCACTGGTGATGTCAGTGTGTCAGTTCCCACTCAGTGTCAGTTAGTGTCAGATTGCCCAATGCACTATCACAGTCCCACTATAAGTCTCTGATCATCGCCAATACTAGTATAAATAATTAAATAAAAATTCCAGTATATATACTATTGTTTGTAGGCCCTAAACTATTCATACAAACCAATCAATATACAGTTTTTGGGATTTTGTTTTACAAAAGACATGTAGCAGAATAAATTTTGGCCTAAATTTATGAAGAGATTAGATTTTTTTTTAATTTAAATATGTTTTATAGCAGAAAGTAAAAAAATATATATTTTTTAATTTTTGGTATTTTTTTTTCATTTATATAAAAAAAACTCAGTGGTGATTAAATACCATAAAAAGCTATATTCAGGTAAAAAAAATTATCTAAATCTCACTTTGGTATCATGTTGCATAACCGCACAATTATTAGATAAAGTAACGCAGTGCTAAATAGCTAAAAATGGACTGGTCATGAAGGGGACAAAACCCCTTGGAGCTCAAGTGGTTACAAATTTGTGAGGGTATGATATATGGAACATTAGGCATTTATCAAAGTAAAATGTGTCCATATATGTAATACTATTTTTTTTTCAGCTGTTTTAATTGCTAAGCATACATTTATACATTAAATGAAATATATTAATAAGCAAAATATCTGTGTGAGAATCTTCTAAGTAGTAGTCTCTCAGTCCTCCAATACTAGTTACAGACCCTTGTCTCATAAATAAGTTGAAAAGGTTTAGAATGTAGGCATCAAAGGTTCTCCCATAGGTATTTTGCTCTTTTTAATTACCATAACACCCTGTTACTTAGAATTAAGTGTATACAGTTTTAGAAATGTAGCTAATTTTGATACTAATGGAGACCAAAAAAAATATATCTATGAGGCCCATAATAGTTTTGGCTGGCAGGTGAGCAGTTACAGTGTATATTTTAGCGGTATAATTTCTCATTACGCCTCTTCAAATATTTTACAGGTGGGAAATTACAGGTTGTCTCATCTGTCATTTTCTTTGCTTAAATTCTCACTTGATATGACCCTACAGATCTCTTTTTCTTGTGATATATATGAAGCAGACAAGCTTAGAGCAGAGGTAAATCCAGGACACTGCTAATTTTTAAAAGGTTAAATGAGTAATGAACACATTTCAAAACTTAAAAAGATAAAAAACGAAATATACTTTTTTCAGCATTAAAGCAATGGTTTCACTACACAATACAGGATTGTGTCAGGGCAATATAAAGTACCGTATTTTCCGGCGTATAAGATGACTTTTTTAACCCATGAAAATCTTCTCCAAAGTTGGGGGTCGTCTTATACGCTGGTATACGGTGTTCTGACACTTCCGAGCTGGTGTCAGGGCGGCACTTTTTAGGGGGGCGGCACGATGCCGCCCCCCCTTCCAACGGAAGGGACACTAAGTACAGGGGCGGGCAGGGGGGCTGCTGTTTTTTTACCTGGCTCTGGTCCCACGATGATCCAGTCCAGGAAGTGCGGCTGCTCCTTCATTCAGTTCAGCCGCTTGATGTTCGCACGGCCTCTCGGCTCCGCCTCCTCTCCGGTGATTGGGCGCCAGAACTGTAGCTCAGGAAAGGCACACAGGCGGCCAATCACAAGCGAGGAGGTGGAGCCAAGCGGCCCCGCAAAAATCGAGTGAGGGAGCGGCCGGTAAGTGTACCATGCAGATGATGCTGCTACAACCATGTATGCTGGCTGCAGCAGCACCATGCTGGAACAGGGGTCAGCAAGTGTCATTGGTGTCACTGATACTAATGATGGGGCTTTATTACTCCCACTGACACCAACGATGGGGCACTATTCCTCCCCCCACTTACACCAACGATGGGGCACTATTCCTCAACCCCACTGACACCAACGATGGGGCACTATTCCTCCTCCCCACTGACACCAATGATGGGGCACTATTCCTCCTCCCCACTGACACCAACGATGAGGCACTATTCCTCCCCCCCCACACTGACACCAATGATGGGGCACTATTCCACCCCCACTGACACCAATGATGGAGCACTTTTCCTTCCCCCACTGACACCAATGATGGGGTACTATTTCCTCCCACTGACACCAATGTTGGGGACACTATTCCTCCCACTGACACCAATGATGGGGCACGATTCCTCGCTCTGACACCAATGATGGGGCACTATTCCTCCCACTGATACCAATGATGGGGCACTATTCCTCCCACTGACACCAATGATGGGGCATGATTCTTCCAACTGATACCAATGATGTGGCACTATTCCTCCCACTGACATTAATGATGGGACACTATTCCTCAGACAATGACACTAATGATGGGGCACCAATATTGGTGTCAGTGGGAGGAATAGTGTCCCATCATTGGTGTCAGTGGGCGGAATAGTGCCCCATCATTGGTGTCAGAGCGAGGAATCGTACCCCATCATTGGTGTCAGTGGGAGGAATAGCACCCCATCTTTGGAATACCATACTGAAATACCATACCATATTGAAATCAAATCTGATGTTTTTTAATTTTTATTTGGTGTGCGTTGGAAGAGGGGTAGTCTTATACGGCGAGTATAGCCCAAACCCTATATTTTAACAGGAAAATTAGGGGGTCGTCTTATACGCCCAGTCATCTTATACACCGGAAAATACGGTATGTGCGGGTCTGGAGTGGTTGGGTGCTTGGGAGGTAAGCTATTAGTCGGGTGATTGATAGGGGAGGTTTTCGTAAAATAGCATCTTCACTAGTCCAGTAAAGCTGTGTTCACTTTTAATAACCAATTATGCACATAGGGATGTAATGCCCAATTCCAGACATATTGGAATAAAAATTAAGCCTCTTGCAGATTAAAAAAAAAAAACAATTCAAGCTGCAATACACGCCAGTAAGGCGACATTGTCCCTACAGTACTTGTAGTCCATCATAAGATGCCCACAGTTTACCACTCTGAATGATGCCCACTGTTATTCAATCAAAAAGACTGAAGGCATCCTATGACTAGATAGGTGTCATGGCCCTGCCACCTAAATGGAAGTCACCACTGCATCATTCATTAATAGTGTATTCATGAAAAGAGGTGCACTAACTTGATTTTGTCAGCACCACTCTCTGCGTTTCTAAGGACTGCCCACAGGTGGAGAAGATCAAGGAAAGAAGGGGAATTTGTGTGTCACTGGCCAAAATACTTTGAAAATAGATAAGTATACTACAAGAAAAAGTATACCATACAGCATGGTCGAGGCTTCAATGTAAAGGGCTGGTCACCTGTGGAAGGAGCTTGAAGCCCAGGGTCATTTTATTTTAAAAAGTCATCCTTGTGTCTTCCAGAACTCCTCAGAGTGATTTTCATTGGTCAGCATGGTCACTTGCCAGCACTGAACAATGCCGCTTACCACCATAATGCTACACAGGCTCCGAGCTGTGTACTGCATTTTTCACATGCCTGGACCACAACATCAGCTGCGTGGGCAGCAGAAGATACCCAAAGGAGAGAAGTGCAGCAGAGGTTGTGGGGAGGGTGTAGTGAGCTAGTTCATCTTTTCAGTTTTTATGAACTAACCTTTTACAAAAGGATGTGTTAGCATCTGTAAGATATACACTCACTGGCCACTTTATTAGGTACACCTGTTTAATTACTTGGTAACACAAATTGCAAATCAGCCAATCACATGGCAGTAACCCAATGTATTTAAGCATCTAGATGTGGTGAAGATGACTTGCTGAAGTTCAAACGGAGCATCAGAATGGGGAAGAAAAGGAATTTAAGTGACTTTGAATGTGGCATGGTTGTTGGTGCCAGATGGGCTGATCTGAGTATTTTAAAAACTGCTGATTTACTGGGATTTTCATGCACAACCATCTCTAGGGTTTACAGAGAATGGTCCAAAAAAGAGAAAATATCCAGTGAGCAGCAGCTGCGTGGATGAAAATGCCTTGTTGATGTCAGAGTTCAGAGGAGAATAGGCATTCGATTGCAGCTATGACATTCAAGTGGTAGGATCACAATTTGTCGTAAACAACATGAAAGCATGGATCCATAATGCCTTGTATCAATGGTTCAGGCTGGTGGTGGTGGTGTAACGGTGCGGGGGATATTTATTTTCTTGGCACAAGCAAGGTGTACCTAATAAAGTGGCTGGTGAGTGTAAGTATAGTATGCAAAGTATTTGAAGTTTATAGAGTGGGCCAGCCACAAAGCACTGTGCTAAAACAATAAAAATGGGTCACAATTTTAAAGTTTGTCTTCTAGTAAGATGTCTGATTTGTTTGATAACAGCATACAATGCAGAAAGCCTAATACATTCAATTTTGGATAGGGAAGCAGCTCTATAAAATAATACTATGTTAACAAACTGCCCTTCATTTTGCAACTAATTCATCACTTGTACCCAAATGTATGCAAGGGTAGCAGTACTGCATGCTAATGAATTTTTATATGCATACAGGCTTGAAATAATCGGTAAACATCCATAAATTGTCAGCTGTCTATGATGCAACTGAATACTCTTTTGATCCTATGGGAAAAAAGTTATCCTCGGCTAGAACTCTGTGCAACAGGAGAAGAGGGAAAGAAATCTCAGAACATATGATGTAAACAAATATATAGCCCCCTTTAAAGGATAAATTCACCTTTGCATGTTACACCGATATTCAGGATGTAACGGGCAACATGTTACAGATGCACCAGCCTCCTGAGTCCCTATTTTGAAAGCGATCGGGGGCTCTGCCGGCCGCATCATTCATTCATAGTGTTCTGTGAATGTGAAAACTACAGGTACCAACAGCATTTGCGGCTTTCAGTTTGTTGTTCTCAATGAAATCCCAGGGTGCTGTTGAGCACTCTTGGTAGTTCATTGAGATTCCTGTAATTCAGTAACTGCTTGCCCATATTAGAGGTACAGGCAGACAGCTACACAGACAGTCTGCATGACCGTGGAATTACACTCATGATCTGCTGATCATGAGTGCAATGCTTTACAGGTTCCAAACAAAAAAATAATAAATGCAAATTTTTTTTACCTGCAAAACATGTGCATTTATTTATTTATTTTGTAAAGGTGAACTTATCCTTTAAGCTGCCAGTATCTACCCTCATTCTTAAAGTCGCAGATCGATGGTGTAATACTTGATACCCACCTACTTCTGGCCACTGCAGACACAAGCCCATAAAGTGTCTTTAGACTCTTCATTTATTGTAGCACCAGTGTACAGCAGCACCCCATGATTGGCATAATAGAGTTAGACTTAACTGATATTTCACTAATGTGTTGAAGTTCTGTTGCCACAAAGCTCCTCTCCTTCTACCTGTGGTCCACTCCTTTTTTCATGTGCCAGGTACTGACATTTATAGAGGAAATGTATGAACACTGTCTATCAGAGATAGTGGAAATATTTACATATGATTATCTTACTCCCTTCTCATGCAGTCTTTCTTCAAACTCTACAGACTCTGCTGCTTCCATCCTGATGTGCTCTGTTTGACCTTCATTGTCCAATTACTGAAGTCCTACCTGTCTGTCTGGTGCTACCGTATGGTGCATAGACCAAATTTGTGTTAATACAAGGACATTTGCTAATTGTAACATACAATTCAAATGATGACATAAAAAATATGTACATGCTGTTTAACCCCTTACAATTTCCACAGATGGTCTACAGAACTTTATAAATATGTCATGATTAGCCACTTCAATGAGGTGTTATTGAGTTTTGAAGATAGGATGGTTTGCATGAGCAAAATATTTGGAAAAAAAACTATTATTTTATCCAGATGTAAAAAAACATTTTCTCCATAACAAAAATGGAACAAATATGTCTGTGAAGGTTCCCATTTATCCAGGTCATGGTACATCTAGTAGTAGTTAGTCACAGTCAACTGGATTTGTTCTGTAATGTTGAAAATGTTTTGTAGCTTGTCCAAGCCACTTTTTCAGTTCATTAGAACTAAAGAAGTGGCTTGGACAAGCTACGAAATGTATTCAACATTTCAGAGCAAGTTCAGCTAATTATGACTAACTACTACTAGATAAAATGGGAGAAATGTCTCTTTTTTTATTCTCAAAGAGACCCGAGAGAAGGGAGAGTGGGGTATAAACAATATTATTTACAAAGAGCCTTTTCACCTTGGCCATTTTGATTGATTATCACAGTGATCACAAAACTACACCAATAGGCTCTTGGTTATTATTACTAGACTAGAGATGGTTATTCACAACTTGACCACAAGCCTGTGCTCAACTTAAAGTAGTGCTTGTATACCTTCGGATGTCTGTTTTTTGTATGTACTTTTAAGAGTAATGAAGTGGTTCCTATGAATACAGGCAGCACTGAAGCAGATTTCAGCTTAAAGTAATACAACCAATGAAAGTCAGTTTTTGAATCGTTTATTGCAGTTGGACACAAATATTAGCATTATTTTATATGTAGTTTAGTAAATATGCCACAATAAGCAATAAGTGTACCATGATCCTCCAAGTCATTATTGTGAACATATCAGTAGCTAAGTATATTTATTTTATTTGTTTTAACATATTTATAAATGTGGACAAAATAATCACATAAAAAGTATAGCATAACAATTTATGAAAAAGTTAATATGTTTAAAATACATCAATAGACTAATAAGTGCTTTTGTAGCACATTTTATGGAAAGCAAATGTAATATATAAATAGCACCCCCACTCACACACATAGCGCTACCACCAAATGATTTTGCTGAAAGCCAGAGTCACCAGGGAATTTAGAAACAATGTCAAACAACTTGATGACCTTATTAGTTATTTATTTCACTCACATTTACAATTCATACTTTGTACCGGAACATAAATCAGGTTGGTAATGAAACCACCCAAGATATATGCTCAGACAGGCAATAAAGTTCTCAAGATATATTATGTATTTTAGATTTAAAAAAAATCAGATGTGCAATACTCTATGGAAATTGGGCCAAATAATTGATAGGCATTTTAGAGCAAAGTAAGATTATTACAATGCTAACATCCATATCCTATTACTCAGAGTACAAATGTGCCTATAGACCTTCTTATTATAGTCTAACTGGAGGGTTGGTGAATAATCTCAGCATGGTTGAGCAGCAAATGTTGGAAGATAATTGGATCTGCAGGCTAAGGTGGTACAAATGAAAGGATTTTGGTTTACAGATTGATAGGTAGTTATTTTACATTGTGGCTTGAAAACTATTTTTTTTGCTTGCAGTTTTACATACGACACAATAAAATAGAACTATTTAAAGCCTATTGTTCTTCCATTATTCAAAGCAACCCATGGAAAAACATATTGTTATAGCCAAAAATATCTAAACCATCAGTGGACCCAGGACAAGTGTGATAGAAGTAATTTGAGCTATTGGAGCTTAACTGAGAAATGTCACATAATTCCAAGATGTCGTAATAATTCTTTAGCTAAGTAGTTTTTGAAAGATGTGCTTTGCCCCGTGTTCTTTATAATACTTTCAAGTCATTTCTGAATATTACAGCTTTACCCATTGTTTTTTCTGC